GGGTGCTGGAGCCAGCTTGGTGGCTGTGTAGGACAGCTCTGAGCATTGCAGATCGCCTTGGGGAAGCCTAAGACAGGCCCCAGTTCAACAGACCAACTAAGCACATGCTTAATCTCTGCCTATTCAACAAATGCTTTAAACATAAACATGTTCCAAAGTGTTTTGCTATAGATGGGTGAGCTCCAAAATGTGCTGCTGTGCTTTGCTAGATAAGAATCGGTATTTCTCTCTGAAATAACTTGTTATAGGACAGACACATTATCGCTGCCTGCATTTTTAGGTAAGAAACTTGACACTTTGCTATCTGTGTGGCAGGCAAAGTAGATGAAACCAGAAAATGTTTTTTTAAATTGCTTCGTGACATGTGAGTACAGATTATTTAGTGTGATAATTTGCACATGTATAATAGATTAATGCTATCAAGCTAAACTATGTGATGGCAACCACTGACGCTAGTCTTGTGTTCTTTATTCTTCAAAACCAACAAAACTCATCTGCTGAAGGATATACTGAATTGTTGAGTCCAAGAGTTTTTTTATTTTCCTTACGTACAATTTAAAAAGCACAAAGATAAGAGAACTGAAGTGGTATAGGTTATGTGTTCCAATGCAGAGAGTTCTCCTGTTTTTTAAGAAGAGCCTCAAATGGTTTAAGAAATTGCTGATTTAAAAAATAGCAAATAATGTATTACACTGTCACCTTTGAAGACTTTGGGAGTTTAATGTAATTTAAGAGCTGGCCATTTATATGTGATTGCAACTTGTCATAAACCTAATGCTGTACAGCTGATAAACAGCAACAGAAAAAGTGGGCAATCCAAAGTACATGCAGTCAAAGCATCCCAGCCTGCATGTATCAATTCCTGTATAAATCACATATGGAAAACTATCAAGCCTGGACTTTTAAAATGCCTGAGACAGGGTAGTGTATGAAGCAAATGCAGCAGCCGAAGTTTGTAAAAGCAACTAATACACATATATTTATACATACATGCATATATACATATATGCATACATACATATGTGTATTTATACACTGTATGATATGTATTCAGACCTGATACAGAAGTGTGAATAGCAAAAGTGCTGTACGCTTGCCTTCTGAAAAACTGCCTGCCTTAACTGTTGAGTCCTCTTCCCTCACCCCTGTCCTCGGACTTACCAGTCACATTTGCAAAGCTGAGCCCTTTGCTAGCATTGTGCTGAAAGGAAAATTTGGCATGATTTTCTTCTTTGTAACTGGGGCCCTTTCCCTAATTTGTTTGACACAGATACAGTCCCCAGCAGTTCCTGAAAGGGATTCAAATCCCTTCCTACCATCTTCATCCCTTGTATTTTTTCCAGGTGAACACCACAACTCTCTCAACAAAGTGGAATTATTTTTTTCTTTCCAGGACCCAAGTATGACCGTTTCTGGTAGGCGGCATGTAACAGAAACGTGTTTGCCAAATGCTGCTTCTTTCCTTGGGTATGGGAAAGCGTTTTGTTGAAATGGGAAAACCAAATGAATAGAGTCCGCCAGTCCCGCACGCCTCCTGTCTGCGAGCATCCCCACCCTGGGGACGTGGGCTGTGTTACCGACTCAGGGGAATGGGTTTAGAGGAGGCCTTTGTTGAAATATTGGCAGCACATCACTGGACTCGCTGTCATTGCAGATGGAGTGCTTTGCGGAACAGATGGATTCTCAGCTTTCTGAAAGAAAGGGAAGGTACTTGATGTACCACGGTGGGAAAGGAGGGGGGTATTCCAGGCATATGGAAAGGCAGGAAAGAAGGCACGTTCTGCAGTTTTTGGTGCACTTGGAGCCTAGCAACCTCTCTCTGGCAAACTTGGGAAAGTGTAAGCACGGCGCTCTGTGAGAGGGCGAAGGGGCTGTAACAGACGTGGAGGAAGTAATTTGCACAGAAGAAATAAAAATGAAGGCAGAGTCTAGAAAAGCCTGCTCTCCTGAACGTATAGCTAAGTATTATGTGCTAGGGATGGGGAAGTTCTCCTGCCTGGGATATTAAGGCACAGGACTAGTGCCAGAGCAGCATAACTGGAACAGAAGACCGGTTAATATTTTAAGGTCTATTGTGTTGTGAAAGAGACCAGGGATAAATGTTACCTGCCACTGTGAAGCCAGGAATCCCCGTTTTCCAGCTGTGTATGCATCGGTTTTGAACCGTGGTGGTGCAGTTTGTACAATGGCATCGTTCAGATATCGTATTGCCTCTTTTCTTGCACTCTTCTTTCTCCCCTCCTTGCCTCCCCATCTTGTTCATACCTCACTTCCATCTTAATTGTTAGGGCAGGATCAGTTCTGTGCAGCACCCAGGAGCCTGCAATCCTGACTCAAAATGATGTTATCTGATCCAATATTTACTGCTAAAATCTTCATGCAATTGCCAAGTGGAGTGTGACAAGGAAGCAGCATGAACTGAAAGGAGTGATCATATTTTCTGTGTTAATTTTCTACAACTTTTCAGTCGCTTCACACACACACAGACTTAGCAGAAACATTACACTTATTTGTGGTACAATTTAGGATATGATGACAATGGACTTTAATCTTTATTTTTACCTCTTAGCTTAATCAGACAATTTCAACACCTCTTGAATGCGGACATTAAAGCTGTTTAGCAATAGTAAGGATGCCAAAGGCCTTGGAAATCCAGATTTTCTGAGAAAAAAAAAGAATCTGATAAAGGGCAAAAAATGTCAAGGTTCTTTCAAAGTGTGATTCGCTGCTGAAAGCAGCCATGCAAAAATATCACTTTCTTAAATAATGGCTCTGGCTTTTGTTCATACTTGGGATTGTGTCTGCAGCAACAGAAATGTCTAAAGTCTTTTTCCTGAAAAATAAAGCGAACTGGATTACATGCACACTTGTGCATCAACTGTGCTCCATTTTGCAGGACCGAATTCTCAGGGAGGCTCTGAGATAAAATAAACAAGGAATCCCATCATTGAATTTTAGTGTGAACATTTTTCAGATTGTTGTGTCTGGATCTCTGCCAAGTTTCAGCCCTATAATAAATTAATTCCAACCCACACAAAAGAGAAGGGGAAAAAAAAAACCAACGACTTCTACAAGACAAAAACACCGGGCAATTTTTATGGGGAAACAAGTGGCCAAGAATAATTTATTGGAAAAATAATTATCTAAAGAGAGAGTGGGCTCTTCTCTCTAATTGGAAACTATAACATTTTCCAGCCTTTCTAAACACAGTATAGGAGGAGCATCAACATTTTGCTTCACCGGCCTGGTTAAATAAATTTATTGAAATAATAAATAAATATTTATTTTCAATAAATAAACTTTATTGAAAATAAAGTTAAGATGTTGCTTTCCTCTTGTTTTATTTCTCCTTACACCCAATACTGCAACTGAGCCCACTTGTCTCTCTCTCTGGCAAAATCTAATCTGGCTGCCACAGGACCTGTGAAAATCATGGAGGTGATGAGCCAGGGTCTGCTTTCTGCATTGTATGTCTGGCTTTATTGAATCTCTAGTCACCCTCAGATAATAAATATTTCATATGTTGGACAGGTGAAAGGTTTCATTCAGCTGCAGATCTGCTTCCAAGGCAACCGATTCCTGTCATTTGAACAGTTTAAACATGTTGAAAACAAAGCTTGCTTTCTGGTTTTCTCCTCTATGATTTTATGTGTAAAGCATTATCTGTCTCCCTCCTGTCCCTCCTACAAGCAGATACAGAAAAGCCAGTAGCATTAACAAGTAATTCTAAACAATTTATAACCTAAATGTATTCTCTCTTCCAGTCAAGATGGGATGAAGAATGCTGTTTCATTTTACAAGCATAGAATAAATACCTAGAGATATGAAATTGCCCGAGTTAGCATCTATAAATACTCTATACGCAAAAAATATATGTAACCACAGTACTATATTATGCTTTAGAGTATGTTTCTCCATTACGATGGGCGTTTCCTCAATACCATTGTCCAGTAATTCTGCTATAGAGCTGGGGTGTTTTTTGGACAGGGGGCAGTACCCCAGGTCTTTCTCTGAGAAAAGTTACCGGGAAGATTGTTAGCAAAATGTCTTCAACTGCATCTGATTTCTGCCAGTGTCAGTGCTTGTGACAGATCTTCTGGAAAATGTCTGCTGTATCCTTTACATCTTGCAGCTGAACAAGCTCTTCTGAAGTATAGCTTTCCTCATTCTTCCTCTGCACATTTCCGAGCATAATGGGCAGCTGCCCTCCCTCCTCCTCTCAAGCCCTCCCCACGTCTGGACTTTCTGATTCGTGCTGTGCTCCATGCCCAACTCCAGACCAATGCCTGCATCTACTGCTGATGACTTCAACAAGCGCTTCTCTTTACTACCTGCTACATCAGTTGTGATGAAAGGAGAAATCTATTGGAGCAGTGGTGAAATTTAGGTAGGCAGACTCCAAGTAAAGGGATTATCTACCATCTCATATCTTGCTCAGAGATATTTTTACTTGCATCTGACCTTCTGCGTGGATGTTCCCTTAATGCAATTATGGCAGAATGGTGGCATTTCTCCAGGAGGCACACAGTGGTTTTAGGAGATAAGATGGAGAATACATCTTGGGGTGAGATTGACAGGTTTTAGGTATTCTGATGGAGATCTATGCATAGGTGGCTTATTTAATCTCTCTATCCTCTCTTTCTACTTACTGTACAGGTGCTTTGCAGTGATGCTCTATTTCGGGACTAGGAGGACATTTTAGATCCATTCAGAAAGACTGACATGACATGCACAACTGCTGTTTTGGGTTTAGGGGGGAGATGGAAAGTGGGTACAGTTTGTGATAGGCATCTTTATGCCTGGTAGCTCTGCGGCTGATCCCCCTATTAGAAAAAATTAAACTATATCTGACCTTGCAGCCCTCTCCCTTCTGTTTCCAGGCGTATAGATTTTAGCCAGCAGGTCTCTGGTTAACTTTGCTGTTGTTTATTTCCCGTCACTCCGCAGACACACCACTGAGCGTTAAGTATGTGAACTCAAAGACGCTCCCTCTCTCCCGTACAGTCTTCCTTAATAGCAAACAGTCACGAGCCGGGCTTCTCCAGGCAGAATTATTTCTACCTAAGAAATATAGGCTTCAGGAGTATGCCCTTTCTCTCACCCTTTTCAGATTGCATTAAAAGCATCCACTTCAAGAAACTACAACTGTGTTTATTCGAGTGTTGAATTTGGAAGTAGTGCCGGGATCCCTGCCACGGCACGCTTGAACCATGAAACCCAGGTCAGTTCCATTTTTTGGTTTTCATGTACTGGCACAGCGCTGCAGTGGTTTGAGCTTCCAGGTCTCTGTGGGAGCAATACTTCTTTTAACATGCAGAAAACATCATATTTGATTTTATAACCTTACCTCTTTTTTTTTTCTTCATGCTACTAAACCAAAGTGTCAGGGTGGCATGCCAGTAAACACAATGCGTTCAAAAAGGATCATGCTGACGGGCTTGAAAACTAAATGCTCTCTTTTAAACAGGCGGGAACAGCTCAGGTTTTCCTTCCTGCCCACCAGGCTATCCCTGGACCTGAGGGGACAGCTGTGCTTCATCTGCCTTTTGCTCTGTCACTGTGACTGCCGGCTATTGCACTATATAACGCGCTCTCGGGCTATGGGAGGATAACAAGTTTCAATCACTGTTCACTGTAGGTTGACTTTGTCACTCAAAGGCTACTGACTCAGTAGCTCCTTAGTTTTGTCAGTGAATCAACCACTTCTCTGTCTTCCAGCCTTCTATGGTATTAGGGATTTTGTGACTTTGTCATATTGCTAGGGAGAAAGGTGCTGGGGCAGCTATTGCACTGTCTGCAACTGATGGGTGATGTTATTAGGGTTGCCTGAGGCACTTTCTAAGGAGGCTGTTTTTGTTAATAAGTCTACTCTAGATCTCAGACTCCAAATTTCACTGAAACTGAGTTTGCATTTTTGAAATTTTATGTGCGTAGTCTTTCACTGCAAGGTGGATTTGCATAGGGACAATCAAAGGTAGCAAGAGTTGGTACCTGCAATGTTTGTTCCCCCCAAATGTATGTTGGATGACTCTATTTGAAGGCACAGGACTGTTTGTCTGCTTATTGGGAAAATATCTGGAGGCAGTAATGCTTTGTGCAAGGAAACTTGTTGGTGTTTTACTGTGGTGTAGATCTGGCTTCCCTTTAATTTCTGTCCCCTGACCTACAGTGGTTGTATGCTTTGATGTTGTTAGAGTGCTCTTGGAGTAAGTGTTCCTCTCAGTGAAAGTTATGCTGCTGTCATTTTTTTATGTTTCATACGATGGGTGAAGAATTATCTGGAATATACCCAAACACGGGCTTGTCATCACCAAGAAACCTGCAGTTAGAGCCATTGTCCCCTTCCATCACCAAATAAGAGTCCGGAGAGCAAATACCATCTCCAGCCCAAGTCTTCTCCGACTTTTCTGTGATGCGTTGAGTTACTTTGCTTCTAAGCACATTTCCCTTCTTTTCAACTTTTCTTTCTTTGTGCATTTGTTCCTTGTCTAATTATTTTAGATCAAGTCTGCCACAGCTGAACAGAATACAGTAAAGGTAACGCTCTGTGATCTTCCTGCAGCAGGAAAATTTGTATGAAAAGATAAATATCTTTTGTAGGTATTATATTTATCGAAGACAATGGAGAGGTAAGTTTTGAATGACTGAAAATTTTGTAACTACACCATTAATATTTAATTACTATTGGTAGCCAAGAAGTGCCTTTCTGGATTAACCAGACGCTCTGCTTTGGGGATATGCATAGGTGGCAGAAAGTGATAAAGCTGGTGAAACCGCACCTCTGGGAACATGTAATGGGATCTTTCCTGTGATATGCAAATTATGCTGCCAAGTTGCTGTATAAACAATTCATGGGAGAAGTGGTGAGAGGTAGTTAAGTAGCTGAATCACATATCAAAGATAAAATTCATCACTGGGAATGGAAAAATGCATGAAAAGAGTGGTTTTGCTTTTAAAAATAAATAAATAAATAAAAAATCTTTGCCCAAAGCATGTAGTTGCACTGAAGAGTAAATAGCAAATGATTTATCACAATTGTTGCAGTTCAGAGTAAATGAGCATTTAGGAAATCAGTGTGCATAGAGTTTGTGAAAAAAAGACTTTTTCTGGTACAAGTAATCTAGCCAATAATGCTTCCTTTTTTTTTTTTTTAACTGAGAAAAAAGATTACATCACAAATGTTGATTTGGTTACTTTTCAGGCAGAAGACATGCACAGCTTACTTTTCAGTGATAAAACCAATCCTGCCATTTCTATTCTAAGCATGAGCAAAGATCTCAGGCAGCCCAGAAACATATATCAGGGCTGTATACAGCCATAGATCAATGAGTGTGCACAAACCTTATTGACGCCAGCAGAAGCTGAGCTCATGGCTTCAGCCTGGGTTTCCACTTTTGGTATTTTATACTGTATGAGGAAAGGATTCCAGCTAATCACACTCCTCCAATAAATCAAAGATTACTTTTTCACAAACGGCATCAAAGCCCTCAATTGGCATTGTGTCCAACTGCATTGTTTTTCCACAGAGGCCAATCCCTGTGGCACTTGTTTTCCCTCAGCCCTTTCCTCTATCTGCTGTTCATTTAGGATCTGATGTGGCTCAGCTGAAGCCAACTGAGAAGCCCCTGATTAACTTCAATGGGAGCTGGATCATGCCCTAGAGTCCTAAGGGGCCAGCAGCAGAAAATTTAAGAAGACAGCAGGGAATATTAAAGCACCGTGAGGCAAGGGAAACATTTTTGGCCTGTGACTTTCTTTTGTTTTGCTATGTAATAGGAGTGATACTCTAGATAGACTTGTACAGTCATAATAAACAGATCCCGCATTCAACAAATGTATCCGATTCTGTTCTATGTTTAATCACCCACGAAAGCTGTGTCAGATGCTCTTCCACCAGGAACAATATCTCCTAATTAACTGTAATTAAGGTATATTATAACAACAGGATGTGAAACTAGATGGATCTGTCTCTTGACATTTCAAATTTGGGTATTTTTTTTCTGCCAAGTCTCTTAATATGCTTCAATTAATGATAACAGAGGCCAGGCGATTCTCAGTGATGGATCTGCATACGTGAATCTTAGTACCACTGAGATGAGATGAAGCATGAATCTTTCCACCGTTAAAGCCCCCTTAGAAACATGCATGGACTCCAATTAAGCTGAATTTACTGGTCCAGATGTTGATTACTAGGAAGCCAAGGGTCAAAGCTTGATTGCCTTATCCTGGAAAGTGCCAGAGATGACACGAAAATCTGGTACCTTGTCTGCAGGTTCTTCAGAGGATGTGTTGCCATTTATAGCAGGTATGGCATCTCTTTTCATTCACTGAGAAACCATACGAAGCTGTTTTATTCATGCACTATTTGAACAAGCAAATTTTTAACTTGAGTGCCCAACGAAGGGATTTGATTATCATCTAGAAAATTATTGCTTCTTCTCTGAGCTGTGGCAGACATCAAGGCGTCACCAACTGATAAGCATTTGGAGAGCTAATCAGTAGTAAAGCTTAGGTATAGTCTTTGTATAGATAGCCTAACAATTAAGGCTTTTTAAACTATTCCTGAATGAAAGGGAATTGCCAACTTAAAAGAGAGAATTCCTAGCTCAGGCATTTCTGGCCATGTAATTAAACTGAATATGCTGCTCCCTTGCCCCTAGCCACAGTCGTCCTAAAGAAGATTAACAACACTGAATTTCTACCAGGGCTGAAATCTTGTTTGTATCCTGAAATGTGGGCTAACACAACAATGTGCTACAACTCCATCTGGCAACTCCTCCCGAACTTGGTGTTGCTTCACTGTGTGCCAGTGATGCACTTTGCAGCGTCACCAACCCATGGGACTTGGGGAGGAGTTCACTCTTTCAAAGACGAGCATAGATGAAACTGGGTTTCTGCAGCATTTAGTATGGTGTATAGATATTTGCCTGAAGTAATCTATTAGATGTCACGAAGCATATGCAATCAGAAGGTCTTGTGTAAAACACTGGGACAAAAAGATGAAAAGCATATCTCCCGTGCTATTCCACTGAGCAGCTCTATTATGATCAGGACTTAATTTGAGTGATCCACTATATCTGTGATTGCACAATATAATCATGTTCCTAGGATTTTGTGTGTGTGTGTGTCATTTATTTTTTAGCTACCTCAGTTCCCTGTACCTTCCTAAAGAAAATATTTCATAGATTTATTTGAATTGTGTTCCCAAGCACAATTGTGTTCCCAAGTAAATCAGTTATCTGATTGAGAAATGACATGATTACAAACTTTTAGTTTTCTTTTAAGATACCAATAAACAATTTTTTTAAAAAGTCCCATATTTTGTTTGCATCTTATGTGCCCATACTCGCTTGATCACACGCAAGAAATATTTTTGTACACTGTTGCTATGCATGACTAAGAAAGGAGTTGTAGATAGAACAAGATGAGATACAGGCTGTAATTTACACCTGACAGAGTGTGAATTTCAGTGCGAGTCCTTTTAAAGGAAACTTGCTATTTTCTCCACATTCAGATAGACAATGATTCCATAAGAAATTATGATCATTGTCTTTTTTTGTTTGTTCTACTCTGCTTTGGTTTTGATTTTTACTAGGGAAAAAAATATTCCTCGACCTAATGCAATCCAGTGTTATCTGCAGGCCCAGGTCATGGTCTTGTGGTGCTGGACATACCCCATAAGCAGAGAACAGCCTGACTAAGCAAGATTAATAAAGTGTGGGATAAAGAAAGAAAGTATTATCACACCATTTCATGGGTGGGGGATCAAGGCACAGACTGTTTAAATTGCTTGCCCAAGGTCTATTGCGGAGCTATGTGAGGAACAGGAATCTCCTGGATCCCCATCCAGTTGCTTTTCCATTTCTAGAAAACTAAACACCCCTTATTTGTTTTGGCTGAACTGCAATTTTGGATAGTTTGGAAGGCATTTGGAGATAGAAGGGGTCTATTAGTCTTTCCTACTGTCCTGGTTTCACCTACTGAAAGAAATATTAGCAGGCAATTAAAAGAATAATAAATGGGACCCATTCAAACTGCTCCACTTGCTGTTGCTCTGAGCTTCAGGCAAGGTACGTAGAGGTCATTTAACCTGACCATTTATATATCACAGGCCACTAGTGTCACCCGGGCACTCCTAAATTAAGCCATATATTTTAGACAGAAATACACCGGACTCACAAAATGTTTTCTATTCCGACTGTAAATTCAAAGGACAGGGCT